AGCTAGGAAACAAGAAGCCAAGCGGTGAGCGACGGTAACTTACTACTAAAATGTTTAATTATTCAAACAAGCTAGACATAGTATTTTACTCGCCCACTTCCAGAATATTTCAGTATCTGATGGTGCCATATCTGGAGAATATGGTGGGTGGGGGAGAACATGCCAACCTAACTCCATAATCTTGTGGACGTGCATTGTCGTGGAGAAGAATAACACCTTTCCGTTTGACAATTGAAAGACGTTTCTGATAAAGGGCTTGATTTAAACGTTCCAATTTCTGACTATAGATTTCTGCATTGACAGTTCGCTGTGGATTGAAGAGTACGAAATGAATTACTCCTTTGATGTTCCACCAAATTCAAAGCATCACTTTCTGCGAATGGAGTCCAGGCTTTGGGGTCGGAAGTGGTTTTGTCTAGGATGAGCAATTGTTTCTGGCCTTTAATATTCGCATAGAGAATCCATTTTTTATCACCGGTGACAATTCTGTCCAAAAATGGTTCACGCGCATTACCCGCCAGAAGAGACAAAGCAACGTTCACACGTTGGAAACGGTGATCATCGGAGTTTGTGAGGCACCCAAACATCTTTTTTATAGAGTTTTCCCATAATCCTTAGATGATTACATATTATTTCATGAGAGACATGCAATTTCAGAGCCATTTCACGAGTGTGTTGCCTTGGGTTAGACTTAACAAGCGTATTCAGAGCATCAATGTCAATTCCAACATGTTGGCCCCCTGGTATCTTTCTATATTGATCTATATCCCTTTGTTTTCCAATGCTTTTAAGCACAAAGGACATTCCCATATTGGAAATTCTAAATCCCTAATCTGAAAACATTGTTATGATCTTATTATATGAATATTTTGCATTAGTAAGGGCTGCTACACACCCTTCACAAAACCAATCAATTTTATGTGGCATCACACTGTCAAGCAATGTGAAAATATAGTTCAACATTCCGTTCCACCGTGACTTTACATCGTCTGTAGTTTTCACTTGACTTGCTGATTTACATATTCAGAAAGTTCAATATAATGTACTCAAGCCTCTGTATAACAATCTTTTAGCTTGATTTTTAATCTCTTTAGAGATATGAAGCAGAGGTAATTTTTCGATAAGAGGTGAGTTACCTTTCCTTTGTGTTGTTGTGTAAATATATCAGTAGGTTGTTTTTACACTTACTAAACAACTAAATGTTTTCGTGTGAGTACTTTTCAAAGAGGATAAAGCTCAATAGCGATATTTAGAGATCTATGTAATTCGCCACACCAATGCGTTGTAACTACGTGTCCGTTGTATACAAATATAAATATGGTAAATAACATTTATCTCATGCTACATTTTATATAGATTAGCTGAATTTCGAGAATCGATAAGACAACATATTTATGAAGCAGACTGAAATTTTATCATAACACCACCCAATGTAGTAGCAATTTAAACAAAGCACATGATATAACACATTTTTGTGAGATAATGATAATAAAAAGATTAAAAAAACACTTACAAATAAATCTTCGAAAAAGTATCTGAAAATATGGTTTAATATTTTTGATATCCCTCAAATTAATTAAGTTTCTTTTAAACAGGCCAAATTTCATACGACCAAAGGTACATGAGTAATGTTATTGAAACTGCTTAAAATAACACAAAAAATCTTTTATATGCAGAAATAATTGAATTAAATGGAAACTTCTGAAGTTAATGCTCTAGAAATATTTTGAAATGGATTCCTCTAAAAACAGCGTGAAACAAATTATGAATTTCCATTAAACCCAGTAAGACCACAAGTTTTTTGTTTCAACAGACTGACACACACACACACACACAATTACTATGTCACTTTCTTTTTTTTTCAGAGAACCAAATATTGAAATTCAAAAACTACTTACTGATTACAAATTTACTTTAAAAAAAACAATTTGTTACTGTTAAATTTTGAAAAAACTGCAATAAACACTTATTATTGGCAAAAGTAAAAAAATCATCGCGAAAAAAACACAAGAGAAATATTTTAATATAAAATATTTCATGTAAACCAAAGTGGAATATGCTTGATATGCTTTACCGAATTTAGTAACATCTATTCAGCAAGTTGTAATAATAGATCTGCCGTAAGGATTGTCATATCACTTTATACATAAAATTGGTCTCCCATTTGCTTTGTTAAACAACAAGTCTAAGTTTAAAAGTTTTGTAAAATCTCTGAAAAAAATCGAAATCCTTGGTTTTAATACAAAACATACAATAACGATTCAACTCAGGTTAGCCCACTTGACTCTATTCTGCTGTGACCTCTGTCCATTCATGTTCTACTGGTTGGATGTGCGAAACTTCGGCTGTTACATGATTCGTTAACAGGAAAGATAACTTTCTATTCCTGGACGTTATGTGCTATCTTCCCTGCAAGAAACTCGGTTAATTGCTAACTTGCAAATGAGGTTTCATTATATTTTATTTGAAGTTAAGCACAAAGCTATTTAATGGGCTATCTGTGTTGTGTTTACCACGGGTACCGAAACACGGTTTTTATCGTTATAAGCCTTCAGACTTACCGATGAGCCACTGATGGGCTGAAACAAAATTAAGACGTGTTTATTTGAATGACTTTCAAAGTTCAAACCGAACTGAAAGAAAATACAGAAATTTCCAAAATAAAAAAATGAAAAATGAGTTATTGAAGTGTTTAAGCCAAGGAATTATACAAATAAGCTTATAAGTATGTTAGGTCTACAAGTGAATATAGCCTGCAAGAAATGTTACTGAAGAAATAAATAATCTTTTTTAATAATGAACTGGACTTTACATTATTTTTACAAAATAACCCATCCAACTATAGAATCCTTGCAACACTAGGAATATAAAAAAATTATTAACTGCCTCGTTTTGAGTTTTCAATGATTACTCTCTCGTTTTTGCCACACAAAATTTGTATCTCTTAGCTTTTCAATCATTTTGTAAATAAGTACTAATTTTCATTATTGATTTAATATTTCTTTTTATTATTCCTTGTTAAGTTATATTCTTGGTTTGGAACATTTGCTTGATTAATTCTGTGTTTGAGATATTTACATTTATCCCTTTAGGAGTCACTTGCCAAGTTGACTATATACCTTTTATTTATAAAAATTACCTTAGATTAACAAAATGATCAAACTCATGAACTTAGTGTACATACACTAT